CTGAATAATATTATGATGATGAATTTTTTTAATAATAATTTACTTATTATGTGACGCGAATTTTATCTGCATTATGATATGAAAGTTGGAGTTTATTGTATGGTGGTGGATTTGTAGAGAGAGACGAGAGAAAAGAAAGAAATGAGAGTTTAAATAGACATACTCTCTCCGTCCTAAAATGTTAGTTTCTTATTTTATTTTTTATTGTCCTAAAATATTAATTCCTCTTCAAAAATTAAGTACAAAAATAATATAAATTTTTTATTTTGCCATTCTTTTAAATTAATAAACAATATAAAAAGTACAACTATGACATTGATATTTCCTAAAAAATATACTATCAAAAAGATAATTTTAGAAAATTAACTTTTTTAAAGTACAATAATTATATTATAAAAAAAAAATTTGATTCTCTAAAAAAAAAATCATTATTTTATTACGGAGTGAGTATGAAAAATGATGAAAGGAGAGATTTGCATCGGATTTGACCAAAAGAGTTTGAAGTTCGAGGTTGGAATAGACTTGGCCGCTAGTGCGGAGCTCAAACATCGAACCTCTCAGCCTCAATTGTTCAAGCGGAGCTCACTGCCACTCGTACGCAGGGGCGTAGTTATGTAGGTCTAGAGGCGTCACATGTCCCTGAGTTTTGAGATTTTTCTTTTTAAGATAAAGAAAAATATTTTAAATAAAAAATTTATAAAAATATTATTTAAAACTAAATGTCAATGACATTTTTAAAATTATAAGAATAATAGTGATTATTTTAATTGAAAATAAAGAGACTATAATAAGTCATATTATTATTTATAAAAATTTTAATATAATGGTGATATATATCATTATTGACATGTATACATAATTAATTTCAAGAAAGATATGAAATTTATTGGATTGTTAGTTACATTTGACATGTAGAGTTAATCCTTCATGTGTTTCTATCCATTCATAAATAAAATGACCACTATATAAATTATAATCAAGTAACACATTTTTAATTATAAAAAATAAAAAAATTATAATAAGTCATAATTAATATCAGAATGAGTCATAACTAACTATTACTTGATATATAGTCATAATCAAAATAACAACCACAAGAAATTATAACTAAATTATATCTAACACTATAATGTGTTCTAACTAAAAACCACGAAGATCATAATTGCGACATATGATATACATTTTTTTTTGCGATATGTTTTATAGAATTTCTCTACTAAAATATATTTTCTGTCTCAACTTATCTTCTTTTTAATTATCCAATCCACCTATAAAATAGTTACTTCCCAATATTTGTATAAAATTTAATCTCAAATTCTTCAATTTAAAATTCACATTTATCCAAATGAACTCTTAATATTTAAGTTTAGTAATATTTCATTATTGTTTATTATAAAAAAAAAATTAATATTGTCATTAATTTATGCCCCCTCTTCACTAAATTCCTAATTACGCCATTGCTCGTACGCCCACCAAGGTTGTACGCGCAGTGGCTCTTGGGCAGTCCTGTGACATCCCAAAACATATATTAGCACCGCATAAATAAATAAAGAATATTTAATTTTATAATTATGTATAATAAAATCTAATTAGATTTAAATTAAAAGTTATTATTTTTTATCAACAAAAAATGATATATTATATAAATGTTGTTTGGTCACTTTTGGGCTCCCCTCATCAATCAGACAATTATATATTATGTTTTATTTTATATTTTTATTATATATAATAATAATAATAGAAAAATATTTGGAGGCACTAATTAGTGCATCCCACTAATTAAAGTAGCAGTGGGTCCTCGTTATTAATGATGTGATTGTTTAGTCTTGGAGTTGAATTTTTTTTTTTTTTTTTTTTACTTTTTTTATGTATTAGTGCTATTAGTGGTGATATTTTTAATATGGATAAAATCATTTGTAATAATAATAGAAAGAAGAAGAGAAGATAAGAAGAAGAAAGAAAAGGAAGCAAAGAATGAAACAAGTGAAGAAAAAGACAACAACAAAAAAAAAAAAGAAAGAAAAGAAATTTGAGTTGCAATTAAAAAGGCAGGAAATGCTGCGAAAATGGGGTAGGTGCTGTGACAGCACCTGTGCATGTGACAGCAAATCTAAGGGGTCGTTTAATTTAATTTAAAAATAAAAAAAAAAACACAAATTTGGATCACCGTGCCTCTTTTGCCTGAATAGGTTTAGGTCGACTTTTTTTAATATAATTAGTTTAAGGCCCGTTTGTTTTATGGGAGATAGAATGGAGAGAATTGATAGTGAGGGGATTGGATAGTGAGAATTATTAATTATTTTATTATATAATAATAAATAATAAAAATAAAAATAATAAATAAAATAAACATTATTTTAAAAAAATTCCCAAATATATAAGAAAATAAAAAAAATTTCTAATCCCCTTACTATTTTTCTAATATCACTCTACCCCTCCTTTACCAAGCCCCCTTCTCCTCCTTACTTAATCCCTTGGGATTTACTAATCCCTTCCATACTCTCAAAACAAACTTCCATAATTCTCTCAATCCGCCTTCCTTCATCTACCAAACCCAATTTCCTCTTCACATAACCCCAAAATAAATAGGGCCTAAACAAATATATAAGAAAATAAAAAGAATAGAAAGGGAGCTGTGACCACGTTTTTTCATTTAGTATAAATTATTAATTTTATTATTTAGGGTTCGCTTTAGAAAAAAAAGAATGGAAACTTTAATATCTTACGAAAGAATGTTTTCGTTTACCATTTGTCACAGAAACTTCATTATCAGCCTTCCAATCGACTCAATCCTTCACTCATAACACCATCTCATGATCACAATCACTCTCTTATTTCAGTTATTATAGATTGAATTTTATTATACATTTTTTTTTAATAATTTTATTAATTTATATATATATGTATGTATGTATGTGTATGTATAATTTATATATGTGTATGTTATTATAGAATCCACACCCTATATGCAAATATAAATATCATAACTAAAAATAATAATTATTAGTCATAATCAAAGATCACATAACCTTTTCAATTATAATTAAAATAATAATCAAAATAAGTCAGAATTAATATCACAATGAGTGATAATTACGGATGGAATCAAGATTTCATTGTCGGAGGGGTCAAAAGATAAATAATTTTTTTTCACCAGATACACAAACACACATGTATATAGAATATGATATATAAATTATATATATACATAGAAAAAAAATTAAATACCGTAGAAGCAATCTCTAATTGGATGAAGAAATTTTTTTTTTGTGCAAAATAGAAAGATAATACAAGTTGAGAGAATAATGAAATATATATTTTTTATATTGGGGGTCCTTTTATGTATAAATTGATATATATATATATATATATATTTTTAAAGTACTATGACAAATAATATTTTTCATAGAAATAGGGAGCCATGACCTTCCATGGTCTTCTCCTAATTTTGTCACTGATCATAACCAAGTTATAATTAATACTATAATAAGTTATAATCCAAAAGTGATGTGCCTTATAATACTTTTTTATATATCTTACATGTTTATATTGTGATAGTGATGCTTGTAGTCAAAGGAAAAAAGAAAAACAAAAAATAGATGTGAAATTGTTGGTTTGAAGGCAAATCTTGATTTTATTTATTTATTTATTTATTTTTTGTGTGTGAAAATTGAGCTTGTTTTTGCTAGGTTTGAAGTTCATGCAATTTGTTAATTAATTCTTCCAAACAAAAAAAAAAAAATGTTAATTACTTACATAGTAATGAATCAACTTGTGCATATATTTATATTATTATAAGGAATGGCTAAATATTAGTGAATAGTTAAAGCGACAATTAATTGTAGAGCTTATTTTAATTAATTATGAAATATAATAGCAATTCGTTCATTATGTTGTTAGCTTCATTTGTACAACTTTTTAACAATTATCTTGCTTTTGAAGCAAAAAATCGAATTAATTTTTGTATATATTCATTTGTACCACTTTTTAACACTTCTCTTTTTATTTTATCATCAGCTTATCATTATTAATGGAGGTTGATGGACTTGAAAGGAGTATAGAAGATAATGCTAGATTGTTAAAAGAGCACACACCAAGTCTTGGAACTAAGTTTGAGTCAGAGGAAATTGCATATCAATTCTACAATGAATATGGAAGAATTATGGGATTTAGTATTAGAAGAGATTACCATACGAAAAGCAAGAAAAATGGTATAATAGTTAATAGAAAGTTTGTTTGCTGTAAACAAGGAGAAAAAAATAAACGAAGTGAAATGGTAAAACAACCTCGACAAGACACAAGAACTAATTGTAAAGCATTCATGTATGTCTCTTTAGATCGGGAATTATCAAAATGGGTTGTTACAAAGTTTGATGATACCTATAACCATATTATGCATCTTCCTCAATGTGCTCATATGATGCCATCTCAAAGGAAGGTTTCTGAAGCTCAAGGTATAAATATGGAATTAGCTGATGCTACTGGTTTATCACTCAAAGCATCACATGATCTCATTAGTACTCAAGCAAGCGGGAAGGAATTTGTAGGATTTACGCGAGAAGACCAAAAGAGCTACTTGCGTGTAAAAAGACAGAGAGACTTGCAATATGGTGAAGCATGTACTCTGTTGAGATATTTTCAGAAGCAAGTTGCTAATAATCCATATTTTTACTATGCAGTTCAATTGGATGTTGATGAAATGATAACCAATATTTTTTGGGCTGACCATCAGATGATTATAGATTATGAAAATTTTGGGGATGCTGTTTCATTTGACATAACATTTCGAACAAACAAATAGTATCGACCATTTGCTCTTTTTACTGGCTTTAACCATTTTAGAATGATAGTGATTTTTGATGCCGCTTTACTATATGATGAAACCACAGCATCATTTAAGTGGTTATTTGAAACTTTCTTGCATGCAATGTTGGGAAAAAAGCCTAGTACTATTTTTACAGACCAAGATCAAGCAATGGCTAAGGGAATTTCTATATATCATGTCTGATGTTACTCATGGATTGTGTACTTTTCACCTAATGCAAAATGCCTTGAAGCATTTGGGCTATTTGTACAAGGGCAACTCAACATTTGGAAGTGACTTTAAAGCTTGCATTTTCGGATATGAAGATGAAAATGACTTAGTTAAAGCTTGGAAATCTTTGATTATTAAATACAACTTGGAGGAGAATACATGGATGAAGAAAACTTGGGAACTTAGAGAGAAGTGGGCACATGTGTACATGAAATGGTCATTTAATGCAGGTATGCGAAGCACCCAACTCAGTGAGAACTTGAATGCAAAATTTAAAAAACACTTAAAATCTTACCATAATATTGTTCAATTCTTTACAAATTTCAATCAAGTTGTTTTAGACAAGCGGTGTAATGAAAGTTATGCTACTAATCAATCTAGACAAAAGTTACCAAGAATAAAAATCAAGAGTTGTCCCATGTTAGTTCAAACCGCGAAACTATATACGCCTCCTATCTTTGACTTATTCCATGGCGAGTTTGACAAGTTTCTTTCTTGTCAAGTAAGGAAATGCTGTGAGTTAGAAGGAGAAATTAAATATGTGATTGGTTTGTATGGAGAAGATAGAGAGTATATTGTGATGGGTGCAATGGAATTTGATAATTTAGGAGGCAAAATGCTACAAAATGTTCGTTGTACTTGTCGAAAATTTGAGAGTTTTGAAATTTTGTGTGGTTATGCGATTAAAGTGCTCCATCAGATGAATGTTATGGAAATTTCCGATAGATATATACTAGTGCGATGGAGACTAGATGCAAAGGATTGTTCATCTAAAGACAAAAAAGTTATAGTGAATGAGGTTGATCCCAAGTTTGTGATATCAGCGTGTTATAGACATCTTTGTCCTAGAATGGTAAAATTAGCAGCTCGATCATTTGAATATGATACCGTATATGAGTTTGTGGACAATAGTATTTATGATTTGTGTGTAAAAGTGGACAATATGATCATTTCACAAAATAGCTCAAATGTTTCAAGTAGTGGAGGCTCCATTGACATAGGATTAAATGATATTGATCCAAATTTTGAAAGAGATAAGGGTTTGAAAAAGAAAGACAATGTACAAAAGAGTGGTGATAGATTAAAGCCTTGGCATGAAAAGATTGGAAAGAGGACAACAGTTGTTTCACGACCTTCCATCACTCAGGTATTAACCTTGTTTAGCAGTAATTTTTATATTTTATATTTTTATTTATTTATCTTACTTTGTGCAATGTACTTATAAATACTTCATAACATCTGTAGAATATTGACCAATGCAACAACAATATAGATGTCCAAAATTCATCTTCAAACCAACCACATGTGAGTTTTTCTTTTATTTTTATTTACAATATATGGTGCAAATGTAATGATAATGACACTTTGTATTTACTTATAATTATTTAGGATGTTCATACACCTTATTGGTCACAAATGATGAATTTTGGGTATAATCTTTTGACGCATGACGTTAATTGTCCACCATCACACCCACAGTCGGTGCTTTTGTCTTCCCAAGTATCATATAGTCCATCAATTTCTCAGGTATTTAATATACTTACAGTTGAAAATAAAAAATAGTCAATAAATTTTATTCTAAATACATTTGCTTATATACAATTTTCTTCTAGGAAATTTCAGTTGATCCAACAATGCAAACTCCTATAGAGTCTTCGTCATGTTTGGACAAGGATGAATTTGTTAATTTCTCTAGCAATGCACAACCACCCCCACAAAATTAAAAGAGATGACATTTGATTAACATATAACTATTGCCTTATCATTACTGTAATTTTTTACTTTCCAGAAATATTGGGCTCAATCATATTATTGTTTATTCATTTTAATGATTTTGAAATTTAAATTTTGGATGATTTGGTATGTGAAGGAATTAGATTTACAATGATATTGAATATTGAATTTGTTAGTTGGTTCACAATTTAAATTCAACTTTATTTTTTTATTTTTGATTTAATTTAGTTGTTATACAATTATATATATATGGTAGCTACATGTACTTTTTGTATTATATTGTTGGGAAAATGATTGGTGGCCCTAAAAAATTTGCCCTTAATGCCCCTAATTTCCAATTTTGGAAACTGTTTTCTTTTTTTCTTTCTTTTTTCCTTTTTTTTTTTTTTTTTTTTTTACCTGAAATGGAATTTCGGGGCATTCGAGCCCCGAAATTTAGGGCCCTCAATCACTTCCGTATATTGTTGTTACATGTTGTACAATTGAAATACCATTTGTTTTAAGTGCTTATATTTCAACATTGGCTTTCTTTTAAAATTTAAAATAAATTAAATCGGTAGTTTCTAAATTTTGTTACTTGTGTCGTATTGGTCCTTACACTTTCAATGGGCTCAATTTTGATCCTTAAATTTTTAGATTTTTGTGTCAATTTTGTTTAATTGATAATGACATTAGGATTTTTGACAAAAAATAATTAATAAGTTGGTTGACGTTAACTTAGTAAATTAATAAAATTTATCCTTATGTGATACATATAGCTCATATGCATATTTTTCATAAATAAAAAAAATAACAATTATAATGAATTGAATTAAATTAAATTAGGACAAAATAAAAATATATATATATCCTGTGTGATTCAATTATTTATTTATTTTAAAGCTTTTGCTAAAGTCAACTTAAATCTAAGGCCTAGTTTGGAAAGACTAAATAAGTGCACTTTTTGACTTTTTTTGTATTACGTGTAGAAAAAGTAGAGAGGAAATGTTGATTGATGTGACCCAAAAAAGATAAAAAGATGAAATAAGTGCACTTTTTCCTTTGTAGCCAAATTTGGCCTAAATGCTCTTCTACACCAAAGGAGGCCGTTCCATTCTGGGTGTAGTTCAAATTTTTTTTTTTTTTTTTTAAATAAATTAAACGACCCCGTTTGCTGTCACAGCATGGTGATATGGCAGCACGTACCCTGTACCCGGAAACGTGAGCCACAGGAATTGTGCTCCAACGTGGTAAGGAAAACTCACCTATAAATAGGTGAGTTTAAACTGAATGAAAGGAAAGGGAAATGAAACGACTGAGAGGCATAAGAAAGAGAGTGAGCCGGGAACGGAAGAAAAGTTACGGATCAATAAGTTACGGATCAATATTGAGATTAGTTTTATTATACGTTGAGTTATCATAAATTATTTTTATAAAATTTGTTTTTGTAAATTATATTAATTTTTAAAATATATTATTTGTTAAATGAATTTTATTTATTTAAAAAAGAAACCTATAGATATAATTATTTTTTAAATGTGTTGTTAAACAATTATTTGTATATAATCATTGATCTTGCGATAGTCTCATACTTGGGGACCTTAATATCCATTGGCACTCTGACGGTCTTATGCTTTGGGAGATTTTAATATCCATTGGCTTTCTGACGGTCCCATATCTTGGGAGACTTTAATATTTTTTAGCTTTCTGAATTGTTACTTTATGTGACACCTTGTTCTGCTCTGTTGTTACTTTAAGTGACCCTCTATTTGTTATGGATCCACTGACCGTCTGTTATGTTCTGTTGTCACTTTTGTGACCCTCTGAAGGTCCCATGTCTGGGGACTCAAATATCTGACCCTCTGAAAGTCTCATGCTCGGTGACTCAAATATCTGGCCGTTTGAAAGTCTTATGCCTGGGTACTCAAATATTTAGCCCTCTGAAGGTCTCATGCCCGGGGACTCAAATATCTGGTCTTCTGAAGGTCCCATGTCTGGGAAACTTAAATATCCATTGACCATTTGTTTTGTTCTGTATCGTGATTATAATTATTTTGCTTATATGATTTATGTATTATATGTTTGAAACAAACTATTTTCTATTTAGCCTGAATAATTATCCATGGTGATTTTTATACCATTATGCTCTCAGCATAATATTTTACACTTTGCCATGTGCTTATAGTTGTTAACTACTTTCAGTTAATGTGTCAGGAACCATGCGTGGTGTAGCCACAAGGCACTTGTAATCATAGTCCAACTTTGACAAAGTAATTAAATAGAAGCCCCAATGTATATGTTTTTGTTATAATTAATTAAACATTTGGGTATCTTTTTACTTTACTCTACTACACTATTAATTTGTTATGACTTTAATTTTTATCTTGTTACAACACCGAACTTCCAAATACCAAGTTTGGACCGTGACAAGTCTACTATTAAATGGCTACTCGGGTGGCCAAATTCCTAGGTAGATTTGTGTGTAAAGGTGTTTCTAAGTTCTTGTTAGGCCCAAAACAAATTTCATCAAAATTGGTGCACGCTAAACAATGTCAATCTCAACTAAACCAATCTAAACAAGTTACAGACAAGATTTGAAAATTTATGGGCATTCACACAAGTGGTCACAAACCGATTTTAAGACCTGGAACATCACATCTTATTTTCGAAAAATGTTTGATAACTCAAATTTTTATAGCCGTCGTTTTGAGACATTCGAACTATTCAAGCGCATGAAAATTCAAGCTATCAAGCATTGTCTTTTTTTTCTTCAGAAAATGTTTTCTTATGTTTGATTGCGTACTTGAAATTAATGTATTAATGGTTGCATTAGTGGTGGTGATAGTAACGCTAGTCAAGTGGAGGTATTAGGGGGTAGTGGTGAATGTAGTGGTGCGGTGGTGGTGATGGTAGTGGTAGCGGCAGTAGTGGTGGTGGTGGTGGTAGTAATGAGGTAGAGATAGTAGTGGCGGTAGTTGTGAGGTGGTAGATGTGGTAGTAGCTCTGGTGGTGGTGAAGGTGATAGAGTGGTGACAATGTGGTGACATTGATAAAATTTTAGTTTGTAAAATGTTTTCCATCTTTTAAAAGTGAATAATATCTTTTTACCAAAATAAGCTTATTTTTTTATTAACAAAAGAAAATATTTTCCGTTGACTCTTATTTTTCGTTGTACTAAATGATAGAAAATGCAAAAAATATTTTTTGAAAAATATTTTCCATTTAAACAAATAGAGCGTAAATTTTTATTAGAAATGTCAACAACAAACATTAAAAACGGATGAGTTTCTAAAACTTTAAAACAAATTTGTATTAAAGAAAAGAAAATGTTAAAAGCAGTTTTTAAGGTTATTAAAAATATGTATAAATAAAAAATATATAAAAATATCTAAAAATATTTTAAGATATGTGTAATATATACTGAATTTATAAATAATTTAACATTGCATAATTTTATTGATAATTTTTAAAACACTCATTAGGAAGACTTTAAAAAGAAAATACAAATTTCAAATAATGTAAGTGTAATATATCCAAAAAGGCTATTATAACTAAAGAAAAAAAACTTATAGAATTATATATTTTTTGAGTTATAATTAAAAAAAAATAAAGTTATAATTTAATATTACATCTCATGAGTTATAATTAGAATATTGTCATAATTAAATAAGAAGTCACAATTAAGAGTGTATATGATATATATTAAAATGAAAATGATTGATAGCTCGAATTTGAGTTTGTCCGAACGCTTGAATTTGTGCATATTAGTCTATCGTCTGGGGACGACCGGTGAAACACTTGTCTATCACAATTGTCAGCCTTGTCGATCGTGAGTGTTAACTTATTTCCGAACGATCGGCAAACCAAAATTCAAACGATTTGAGCAAATCAAAATTCAGATGACGTAGCATTACTCGTATTAAAATTTCCAAATATGGGTTGATTTAAAAAGATGATTAAAAGTAGACTTTTTGATTTTTTTTGAATTTTTTTAAAAAAACGTGTAAAAAATATAAGGAATGATGTGATCTAGAATAAATTAAAAATTAAAAAATGACTTTTAACCAACTTCCTAAATAACCCATATCAATTATTTTTTGACCAAACAAGTCACAATCAAGTGGGGCCACCTCACAGTGGCATATCATCATGGAAAACATCCACGGACAACATTGATGGTTTAAAATTATCAAGTAGAATAATATTAGCAATTAAGAAAAAAAATATCATGAAATGCATTATAAAAATTTTTTATTATTTAATTAGTATATGATATTTTATTATTTGTATAATTTAAAAGTGAAGAATCTTTCATGATTATTTCATGATATTTTTTTTCATAATTCTTAATATTACTCTATGAAATATATAATACAATTAGAATAATACTATATACATCAATTAATATATTAATTAATATACCGATTGATGATATTACATAATTTAAGAAATTTTTAATATTTATAATATAATTAATGAGTAAAGTCATACTGATTAATACACTAGTTAGTTAGGCCTCGTTCGGGGAGTGGCTATTTTAGCCAAAAAGTTAAAAACCAACTAAAACTTATCACATCACCTCTCTACTTTTCTATACATTTTTTTATAAAAAACTAAAAAACTACTAAAATAACGTGTTCTCAAACCAGCCTTAGTCTATATTAACACCACCGATACAAGTACATGCAGATCTTAATCAAAGTCAATTGCACAGTTTTCATCAAAAATCTTTTGGAATTTCCCTTTCCCTTTTTTAACATCAAAATCCAACCCTGGTTTTAACGACCCTCCAAACCCTACTCATTGTTTGTTTGTACTTTGTACCAACCTACCATTTTTTTTTAAATTTTTAAATTTTTTATAATACAAAAGCAAAACTATAAGAATATCTCTTCATCTTTCTCTGCTTCTTCGTCTTCCATTTACTAAAAAACAGAGACCAGATTGATCAATCGACGTCTAGGGTTTGGGGATTTTCAATTCAATTGGGGTTTTTTTTTCTCAATTCTTTTGAAATCCCCCCCACACCACCAAACCTTTGATTTGATTTTTCTCTGCGTCCCTGTTTCTATCTCTCTCTGTCTCTCTCTCTCTCTCTCATATTGATTGATATATAGAAATATATATTTATATATATATTATAGGCTATGGAATTCATGGAATTTGGGGTATCAGATGAGTTATTGGGTACTGTGGTTCCGATTTTGGTTTATTGGGTATATTCTGGAATTTATGTTATGTTGGGATCGTTGGAGAATTATCGATTGCATTCGAAAATGGACGAAGATGACAAGAATTTGGTATCTAAATCCACGGTTATCAAAGGTGTTCTTCTTCAACAGATCGTTCAGGCCATCGTTGCTATCCTCTTATTCACCGTACGTCCTGTCCTGTCCTGTTTTAATCTCTTGATTATATATTTCCTTACATTTTCATATTTTGCCTCATTTCATTACACGTTCTTAATTTCAATGAATTGTTATTGTATATGTTTGGTTATAATTAAAAAAATCACTTCATAATATGTGTTGTTTTCCTCTTTTGGGGATTTATGATTGTTGTTGAAGAATCAAGAATCAAGAATCAAGGATAAAAATCTTTATATGTAATGAAACTATATTTGTGGGAAAGACATGTGAGAATGGTGGTATACTTTTTGGGAGATTGAAGAATGGGGAGGGTGTCGGCTAGCAGACGTCTCTCTCTTTCTTTCTAATGACAACTTAAAACCGATATAATAGATTTGGAAGATTGACTCGATAAACTTTTATTTTTACCCGGGTGATATTGAGACATGTCTTGAGAAACAAGGATAATTATCATGCATTTTCAAGTGTGGATGGAAAACAAAATGATGCATCAAGTGAAATGCGATGGTGTGTGTGCGCTATGCCTAAAGTAATTTATGCTCTGTAGGCAACTATTGCTTGAAGATACTTATTATTTTGTATTAAATTCCATGAAGGGGACTGATGGTTATGTTGCATTCTCAGCAAACTCTAGATTTACCCTATTTTTCCTCACTGGTTCTTCTTTTTGAAAGATTTATCCTATTATATGAATGCTCCATTCAGCTTCTCTCTTACCATTCTTCTGGTGAATGTATTGTTGAACCCAATCAATTGAGAGAGTTTTCAGGTGTTTCCAAGGAGTACTGAATACATATCTGAATTAGTAAATTTATTCGGAGTATCCAAGGACTTGGGCTGGCCATAGGTTGGTGGGCTTGGGTATGAGAAATGTTGACTTTTCAATAGACCAATACAAGCCTAGGGATGGCGAGTTAACCTGATTACTTGCGTTCCTGGCCTGATTAGGACAGATTTGGGAGAGGCTTAATTGGATTTGGGGTGGGTTCCGGGGTGAAGGATCAAAATATGTTTGGGGGTCATGGCTAGTTGGATGAGTGGTGAACCCTCCTTGCCCAAACCAAATCCATATATATTGGCTATTAGATACCCTAAGTTTGCATCGTGTTTATGTTCATACCCCAATTATACAATCGTCATTTTGGCATTATGGCATTGTATGCACAAAAGGTATTCTCTGTTTCCGTTCTACCACCCAATTATACAATCGCCATTTTGGCATTATGGCATTGTAAGCACAAAAGGTATTCTCTGTTTTCGTTCTACCGCCTCCCCTAGTAGTGCTTCTTTCATGTGCCATGGCAAGACATCAGCCCTAACACATTCCTTCTCTAAATTCAGGTTTGTTTTGAATCAGTCATATAGGGATGTGTGTGTGTGTAATATATACACACATATTACCATGCACATATATACACAAATATGTAGAGAGAGCAAGAATGAGGAAGATCAAGATCTATAATACTATTGCTGAGATGACTGATAAGATTCACATCTTTCTTCTATGAAGCACGGACACCTCTCTGAGGGTTGTGTATTAGTGTCGGACATGAGGTGGACACGTGTCCGACACGCTGCTGAAAGTGTCCCCCTTTTTTTTTATTTTTTTTTGCAGCCAGACACGTAAGGGACACGTTTGAGACACCGCAGGGTGAAAATCATAATTTATGAAACTTCAAGTGGGGGTCAATTTGTAAAAAACAAAAATTAAACAAGTGGGGGTCCATTTGTTTAAAAAAAAAGAAAAGAAAAAGTGTTGGCATGTATTTAATTTTTTTTGTGGGGGGTACAATTCCTTGTTTCCTTTTTCTTTTCATAGGCAAAAGTGTTGCAATATGAATGCCGCATTATGAGATTTTTTTTGTCATTTGAAATTCACATGAATTAGATCATTTGGTATAATTTTCTTGCGTCTACCTGCATTCTGGTTAACAACATAAGATATAGCTGATGATTGGGTTCAATAATATATTTACCAGAAATGAAATTTGAAACTCTAATGGTGTGTTCTAGTTATCAAGGGAACAACAAAGATTGTTGGTTTTGCTAATAACGTAATAGTGTATTAATCGTTTTCTAATGCTTTAGAATTTATTATTTGATGGAAGTAATGTTTCTACTAGTCGTGTAGCATGGAATCATCAGTGAAATGGAACCTTTTAAGGAGGCCTATAGCTGAACTCCATTCCCAAAAATCAGATAGATCTTATTCATGCAGGAATGATAGTGGTCTGTGTCAATTAGATGCCATTTGGTAAGCAGTTGTGTTGGTTAGATGGAATTTTGCATTTTGTTTTTAATTTTGGCAATGGAATAAATGGATCATAATACTATTTTAGTTTTAAGAATGATTCGTTGAACGTAATTGTGATATTTTTTAGTAGCTTTTTTTATCTATTGGCAGCAATGATGCATGCCGCCTCATGTTGGAGCTTTAATTATAGAGTTGAGTCAAATAGAGGATGAATGAAAAATGTTCGATAATTCTCCTTGATTTTTATTTAAAAATCATATTCTTGTTCATCTAATCAAGTTCAATCTCTCTTCTTCTATACTTGTGTCTTTCTGTTTAATGTTAGGCACACTTTTTGCAAAGTGCATGATTGTTCTGATATTTTTGTTGACAGTAGGAGGTTTCAACAGTGAAAAGAGTAGACATTGACATTGATATACTAACATGTTTGTACTTTTCTCAGCATTTATTCTAATTCTTGATTAATTGCTGGTTTAGGCATGAATCATGATTGGAAGATGGTTATTTTGATTTGTAATATGCAGTCTTGTTTGTGTATAGGTCACTGCAAATGACAGTGAGGCTGGCACAGTTCAAAAGCGTTCTCTGATTGTTCTCCTTAGACAATTCTTTATTGCAATGTTGGTTTTAGACACATGGCAGTATTTCATGCATAGGTATATGCATGATAACAAGTTCTTGTACCGCCATATCCATTCTCAACATCACCGCCTTGTGGTCCCATACTCATTCGGAGCTCTATATAACCACCCATTAGAGGGTCTTCTCCTCGACACGATTGGTGGTGCACTATCATTCCTCCTCTCCGGCATGTCTCCTCGAACTTCCATCTTCTTCTTCTCCTTCGCTACGATCAAAACAGTCGATGACCATTGTGGGCTTTGGCTCCCAGGGAACCTCTTCCATCTCTTCTTTAGAAACAACAGTGCCTATCACGATATTCACCACCAACTTTATGGAAGCAAATACAACTTTTCGCAGCCATTCTTTGTCATGTGGGATAGAATTCTTGGCACTTATATGCCTTATTCACTTGAGAAGAGAGCAGGTGGAGGACTTCAAGCTAGACCCTCTGAAGATTGCAAGGATAATTGATGAGATTGGATGTTTATTATTGTTTGTTACACATTGTGTACCACTAGTACTAGTTTTTATTTTTTATTTTTCCAGCTGTTGATTGCTTACATGAGTTGTATATATATATATATTTGTTGTATTATCGGTTTTCATTTGACCATGTAAGTTTTTGATAATCATCAATAATGGAAGTGAGAGCCGAAATCTTCACCGTGGTTTATGTGGCCTTATCTTTGTCCTGGTTTATGCTTTGGAAGTTTAGAACATTAGGTGGCCATGAGGTCTATCTATTGGGGTGTTTGGTAGAGCTTAAATCCAGCTTATTTCAGCTTTTAGCTTGAATTAAGTGATTTTTGTGTGTTTGGTGTAGCTCAAGTGATCAACTATTAGCTTAAATTAAGTCAAAAAGTGATTATTCTTTGAGTTGGGGAGGAGGTGCTTTTTGATTTAGCTTAAGCGCATAGCTGGGGGGTTTGAGAGGCAAAATGACTTAAAATGCCCCTCACAATTTCAAGTTATTACCAGTGTGCCACGTATATAAGCCAAACTCACTCATTTCTCTCCCTTGCCCGAACCAGAGAGGTGATTTCTAGCGAGGGAGGTGATTTTCGGCAAATCCTAGGTCGGTCTGTCTGTCTCTCTCTCTCTTCGTGTGTGTGTGTATGTGTGTTCGGATTCAAATCTGAAGGAAGACAATCAATTGAGAGTGGCAATCACCGCCTTAGAGAGGCTCGCGGTGGAGAAGGGCGACAGCTTGCTGAAGATCTGGCCTCTGTCGCGACAGCCTCGTCACGATCTGGCCTCCGGCAAGGCTTCTCTGTGTTTTTATCATCGTGATCTGAACCATCGTGATCTCAGAGCTATGGCCGTAGTGATGATCGAAGATGTTACAAAATTTTGGGTTTATCATCGCGATCTGAACATTTCAACCCTAGCTCTCTCTCCCTCTTCGTGATCGACGCCGGTGTGACAACGGCTCTTTCTCTGTGGATCAATCTGAAACCCTAGCGCTGGAGCTAGGGTTTTCAGATTAGGTTTTGTGTGTGTGTGTGTGTGTGTGTGAGGAGGTTCAGTGTTTTTTTAATTAAAAAAAAAATTAACCTCTTTTGTTGAACAACTTCATATGAACTCAAGTTCGCTTATGTTGAACAATGTTATTTGGCTTATCTTTTGTTGTTAAGACATCGTTAGGTTCTGTAGATTGCTTATGAATGTGTTGTTAGTGTTTTTTGACATTGGCAGTTTGTTTATCTTTCTAGTAGATGGTTGTCTCTTGAGTAGTTTCCTATATTATGGTATTTAGAACTTTATGTTTGTTGTGGTTATTTCCATTTTAGAAATTAATTGCTTACACCTTTGTAATTAGCTTTATTGATGTTGTTTATACCTATGTTATTTGCCTATGAGATAATTAAAAAGTTAAAAAGGATAAAGTGAGATTAGGTATGAAGTACGGGTACAAACCAAGATTAGGTATGAAGTATATGGTATGAGTGTAAGTTGCCTATTAGCTTAACTATATCATTCATTTCTATATCTATAACATATATATAAAAGAATGAAAGCTAGCAGATCTCTTGAATTTGACGGATCAAATTGTCCTATCTGCTTGTAGACACAAATTTTAAAATATTGCGTTTGGTAGAGTTTTGTAAATATGATTTGAGAGTATAAGTTGTATTTTGAGTTTGTGAGTTGTGGAATTATGATTTTAGTGTAGAAAATTTGTTTGGTTATGATTTTTGAATAGAGTGTTGAATTGAGTTTTGAATTGAGTGTGAAATTGAGTTTTGAAAGTTTGATTTGACATGTAAAGTAAGAAAATTTGTTTGGTTATGAGTGTTGAAAAGAGTTTTCAAAACTTAATTCAAATTGTTATAACTCATAACAAAACACACTATTTTCACACTATTGAAAATTCTGATCAACACACACAACAAACTCTTTTTAAAATTCAATTAAATTTTTTTATTATTAACAGAAAATAACATTAACCAATTTTTTAATTGAAAATACTACAAAGGAAATAATTTTTTTTCAAAACAAATATTCAAAAAATTTAAATCATAAATATTTAAACAATTTAAATAATCTAAAAAATTTAACAAGTAAAAAATTAAAATAAATATTCAAAAAATTTAAATCGTAAAAATTTAAAAAATTTAAATATTCAAAAAAATTAAATAATTTAAAATGTTAATATTTTAAATTTAAAAACAACTCTACACTTAAATCGTAACCAAACACATAAAACAAAACTCAATTAAGAAATTATGTTTAAAACTCATAACCAAACACATAACTCAAAACTCCATACTACTTTCACAGCTCTACACTCAAATCGTAACCAAATACATAACAAAAAAAATTAAAATATTTAAAAATATTTTTATAAAATCGAGTTTGAATTTATTTTTATAAAATAGTTTAAAATTTATAAAATTAAAATCGTAATATTTTGAAGTTAAAATATTCAAAAAATTTAAAAATTAAAAAAATCGTAACATATTTAAACATTAAAATATTTAAAATCTTAACAAAATCTCTCTCTCTCATTGTGTGTGTGTGTGTGTTCGGATTCAAATCTGAAGGAAGACAATCGATTGAGAGTGACAATCACCGCCTTAGAGAGGCTCGCGGTGGCGAAGGGTGACAGTTTGCTGAAGATCTGGCCTCCGTCGTGACAACCTCTGTCACGATCTGGCCTCCGGCAAGGCTTCTCTGTGTTTTTATCATCGTGATTTGAACCATCGTGGTCTCGGAGCTATGGCTGTAGTGATGATCGAAGATGTTACCAAATTTTGGGTTTATCATCGCGATCTGAACATTTCAACCCTAGCTTTCTCTCCCTCTTCGTGATCGACGCCGGTGTGACAACGGCTCTTTTTTTGTGGATCAATCTGAAACCCTAGCGCCGGAGCTAGGGTTTTCAGTTTAGGTTTTTTTTTGTGTGTGTGTGTGTGTGGAGGTTAAGTGTTTTTTTAATTAAAAAAATAATAATTAATGAATAAAAAATAATAATGCTAAGTAATTTATAATGAAAAAATGAAAAAAAATTAATTAATGCTAATTAGGCCATTAATGAGAAAAAAATAATTTTACTATTAATTGATGCTAATTAGGCCATTAATTGACACTATTTAATTTATAATGAAAAAATGAAATATTTTTACTAAAAATGAAAAAATGAAATATCACTAAAAAAATGATATAAATTGAAAAAAATGAAAAATAATAAATGAATTAATAAAGAATAATAATAATATGAAAAATAATAATAAAGAATTACTAAAAATGAATTACTATAATAAATAATATTTATCAAATGAATTACTAAAAATTAATTACTAATAAAGAATTACTATAATAAATAATAATAAAGAATTAATAATAATAATAATAATAATAATAATAATAATAATAATTGATGGACAAATTGATACTAATTTTAATAATTGATGAACAAATTAATAATGATAATAATAATTAATAATTGATACTAATTTTAATAATTGATGAGAAAATTGATGATAACAATAATAATAATAATAATAATAATAATAATAATAATAATAATAATAATAATAATAATAATAATAATAATAATAATAAAAAAATAAATAATAATAATAATAATAATAATAATAATAATAATAATAATAATAATAATAATAATAATAATAATAATAATAATAATAATAATAATAATAATAATAATAATAATAATAATAATAATAATAATAATAATAATAATAATAATAATAATAATAATAATAATAATAATAATAATAATAATAATAATAATAATAATAATAATAATAATAATAATAATAATAATAATAATAATAATAATAATAATAATAATAATAATAATAATAATAATAATAATAATAATAATAATAATAATAATAATAATAATAATAATAATAATAATAATAATAATAATAATAATAATAATAATAATAATAATAATAATAATAATAATAATAATAATAATAATAATAATAATAATAATAATAATAATAATAATAATAATAATAATAATAATAATAATAATAATAATAATAATAATAATAATAATAATAATAATAATAATAATAATAATAATAATAATAATAATAATAATAATAATAATAATAATAATAATAATAATAATAATAATAATAATAATAATAATAATAATAATAATAATAATAATAATAATAATAATAATAATAATAATAATAATAATAATAATAATAATAATAATAATAATAATAATAATAATAATAATAATAATAATAATAATAATAATAATAATAATAATAATAATAATAATAATAATAATAATAATAATAATAATAATAATAATAATAATAATAATAATAATAATAATAATAATAATAATAATAATAATAATAATAATAATAATAATAATAATAATAATAATAATAATAATAATAATAATAATAATAATAATAATAATAATAATAATAATAATAATAATAATAATAATAATAATAATAATAATAATAATAATAATAATAATAATAATAATAATAATAATAATAATAATAATAATAATAATAATAATAATAATAATAATAATAATAATAATAATAATAATAATAATAATAATAATAATAATAATAATAATAATAATAATAATAATAATAATAATAATAATAATAATAATAATAATAATAATAATAATAATAATAATAATAATAATAATAATAATAATAATAATAATAATAATAATAATAATAATAATAATAATAATAATAATAATAATAATAATAATAATAATAATAATAATAATAATAATAATAATAATAATAATAATAATAATAATAATAATAATAATAATAATAATAATAATAATAATAATAATAATAATAATAATAATAATAATAATAATAATAATAATAATAATAATAATAATAATAATAATAATAATAATAATAATAATAATAATAATAATAATAATAATAATAATAATAATAATAATAATAATAATAATAATAATAATAATAATAATAATAATAATAATAATAATAATAATAATAATAATAATAATAATAATAATAATAATAATAATAATAATAATAATAATAATAATAATAATAATAATAATAATAATAATAATAATAATAATAATAATAATAATAATAATAATAATAATAATAATAATAATAATAATAATAATAATAATAATAATAATAATAATAATAATAATAATAATAATAATAATAA